AGCAAAGTCTAGGTAGCTTTATATATTTTGGAGTAAGTAGAGAAGGAAAAAAATCACCAGAAGTGTAATTCACCTTCATACAGATTTCTGCTCAGCCTGCTTATTCTATGACTATAAATTTTAATCAAGAAGAAAAAAAATTCTCTGGAAAACCCTCCACTTAAAAGATTTTGTTTAAGTATGCAAATAGATGCATGGGGGGAGGGGCATAATGTGTGGCAGTGATTCAGGATTTAGTCAGAATTAACCGTTCAGTAGGAAAGCAGGTGTGGTGGTTCAGTCAAACCAGAGATTTCAGTGACCTCTAATTCTGTTAGAGGTTCTTGGAGAACTCATTCTCAAGTGGTTACAAGTACCACCCTAGGAAATGACTCCTTGAATTCTATCTCTGAACCTCACTATTCACCTATATGTTAATATCATTATTCCAATAACCAAATATTCTTTTTAAAAATTTATTTATTTTTAATTTTCAACATTCACCTCCAAAAGATTGTGCGTTCCAAATTATCTCCCCATCTTTCCCCTACCCCCTCCAAGGCAGTGTGCAATTTGATGTAGGCTCTACATATACATTCATAGTGAATCTATTTTCACATTAGTCATACAACTGAAATTTTTTGACTTGGTTGTACTAATATCACATGTTCAAAACTCTCATCTGAAAGAGATATCATTTTCAACTATCCCACAGGAGTTCATCTAACTACCATTCTTCTAGTCCTAGTTGACTGAAAAAGCCTTGGCCTCAACTCTGATATGTTTTTCTCCTAACTTGATCTGAAGTCAGTTCTCACAAGTGGCCACCATACAACACCTGACCAGCTACGTCCAGTCTCTTCCACCTAAAAACTGCCCAGAGGCTCTCAAAGCTTCCTTAAGCAGGAAGCAAGAGCATCCTCCTTGATCACACTAAGTGATAGAAATTCCATACTTCAGTGGACCTCCTCAAAGGTATTTTCTGAACACTAATGGCATTACATAGAGATATGTTATCAAGATGCTCCTGAAAGGGTGATAATACTAGAGAGCTGTCATTTAATGGGTAACAGAGTCCTACAGAGTATGAACAAGTGATTTTGGCTATTCTTTTCTGAACCCAACATTCCAGTTCCAAATGTAGATGAACTAGATGTTTTGAGTGAGTAGTATTTCAGATACCAGCATCCAGTTATTTGTTTTTAGTTTCTTTATTCCACTTGAACAAAATCTTAAAAGAAACTGCTGGCCTTCTAGCTTGTCCTTTTTGCAAGCTTCTACGCTAGACTGTGCGTATGTGGTGGGGGACGAGGAAGGTGACAAGGAGACCTGCGTGGTGGGAAAAGGAGTAGTTAGGAATTGGCCCAACTGAAGCAGATGATTTCAACTAAAAAGAGGCAGATGAAGTTAGATGGACATAGTGGGCCAGATATGGAGGGTCATTCATATTCTATTGAAAAGTTTAGATTGGAACCATTTTGTCCAACCCCATGAATTATTTTGCTGATTCTTCTTTCATTTTAAGATTGTAATAACAACAATGACTTCAGTGTAGGCTCATCTGTTTAACTTGATGCTTTCCTAACAACACATCCAGTTTGTTTAGAGCCAGAAAGTCCCTCTTCCTAAACAATTCCTGTTAGGCTTTTTTTTTCCTTCTTCTTCTTTTGGCTAGGCAATGGGGTTAAGTGACTCACCCAGGGTCATGCAGCTAGTAAGTGTCAAGCGTCTGAGGCTGGATTTGAACTCAGGTCCTCCTGACTCCAGGGTCAGTGCTGTATCCACTGCACCACTTAGCTGTCCCCCTATTAGGCTTTTGTATAACCTTACTCAACTCATTCAATCTTTGGGAATTCCTTTTTTTTTTGGTTAAATATCACAATATATTTAAAGTGTTTTGTAAACGTTCAGGCCCAATATCAATGACAGCTACTATTACATCAATATTTCAATGGATTTGTGAGATCATCAATATGAGTATTCCTTTCATCCCTGCTGATCACAATCCATCCATATCTTCTCATTCTGTGCAATTAATATCTGTGTTTTCCCAAACTTCCTCCAGACAGAATCGATACTACTGCTGTTATTATTATTTTTATTATAGTGGTGGTTATTATTATTGTTAGCATTACTACTTTGGCTGTATGGGTATGGTCTAAAATATTTCATACTGTACTCGTTAGCAAATTATTTTCTAATCTTAGGTATTCAGCAAAAAGATCCAACTAAATACACTTCTTTGTTCCTGTAATTTCCCACCTCTACCCCCTAACCCAAGGATATTAATGGAGTGGCTAATAACATTAACTATATTTTGCCTTTCTGAACAGAAATAATATTATATTAATTAATATTTCTTATAGTTTTTACTGTGGCACAAAAGCAATAACTTCAATTCATCCTGTAATCTATAAAAAAATCCATCTTCCCACCCATGCTCCTACCCCCATCTATGTGTTTATGGTCTAGTTCAACATCAAAGGAACCTGATCATTAATGTGTATTTAATAAATAATATGAGCACATTTCCAATTTCTTGGAAGACCTTATTCACCACCACCACCAACTTTTATTTATACCTCATGCCCCCACAGTACACTATTCAATGATGACTACCAGTTAGTAGTACTAATAATAATAATAGCCACCATAACAAGGGGCATTTTTTTTTGCCAGTCTTCACTTCTGAGGGCATTTCCTCAATTAATTCTCCTAGGGTGTATGTACAGGAGAAAGAAAAAAAAACAAAAACAAAAGGTAGAACTTATGTTTCTACTTCTTTGTAGTTTTGATGAAAGGTTTTGTAGAAGAAGGGTTTTATATTATTAATTTCCACAGGGATCGGAATGACCCGTCTGTCTTTTGTGATCCGAGTTTCCAGATCTCTTCTGGCCTTGATGAGATTTTCCAAGAGTCCCTGTCAGCACACACTTCCCCAGCTAAGCTGCCAATGCAAGTCCTTTAGCTCTAAGCTTACTTTTAGAATTGAGATTAGCCTTGAAATCCCAAAATGTGAATGGGATCCATCATATACTCTAACCCTTTTCTAAGTAGGGCTGGAAAACAGGTTAGTCCTGAGTACTCATTCCTGCCCTTAAGCCAAGTTCTATGTATGGAATTCATGGCTGAAATCTAACTTTGTGATAAAAACAAATTTTTTATTGCCAAACTATTTTTTTAACAAATGTTATAGTTTCTTGCACATAACAATAAAAAAGTTTAAATAGATGAAGAAAAGTTTAAAGGGTTGAGTATCTATTATAAAACTGGCTATAAGTCTCTTGCAGTTAAAGTAGAAAATGCAAGGTGAGGAATAATGTTTCTGTTTTAGAAATTGAGGTCTCTTAGATGAGATCTCTCTACATAGGGTTGGATTTTGGCAAAAAAAATCTCCAAGGTCTTGTCTGAGTTCTCTGCTTTTAGGTGAAAGGCAGGCACATATATTAAAAAAAATATTTTGCAATACAACTTTTACCATTAGTCAACAAGTAAGGGTCACTTATCTGTACCCACAGTTCTCTGAAGAGAAATCTAACAAAAACAGATCACTTCTTTATTCACAGGATCACAAACGCAGAACCAGAAGGAACCTTGGAGATCCCCACTGAATCCAATCCCCCTCATTTTACAGATGCGGAATTGAAACACAGAGAGGTCATATGACTAGTCCAGGGTCACACAGGTAATAAGTGACAGCTCAAGATTCAAGCCTAGACCCTCTGGCTTTACACCTAGCATTCCACCCACTGCTCCATGCTGTCATAAGTTCATTTGGCAACATTCAACATTTGTTCAGCAAATATATACTAACAGACTATTTCATGTGCAGAACACAGTATTAGGCACAAGATGAGATACATAATTTAAATAAGACTCAGTCCTATCCCTCATGGAGTTTATAGTCTCAGTGCTTGGCACAGTCAGCATGCTGACTGACTGACTGATTTAGAGGATGGTGATTCTCATCTCTAGTTTCTCAATACCCTCATTTATATATTGGTATACAGTAATGTTAATGACTTTAATTAAATATAAGGCCTTCAGAACTTTTACTTGGGGTGGGGGGAGAAGGTGAAGAGGGTGAAGTAACCATAACCAAAAAAAAAAAAAAAAAGAAGGAAACAATTGCTTTCTGTAACTCCAAAAAGTTAGAAATTACCAAGGGACCTAGAGCTTTGAAAGTGATGGGAGCTCTGCTTAGACACTGCCAGAGGCTTTTCTAGTCATCTCCAGGGGCTTTCAAGTAATCATCTTAAAAAAAAAAAAAGAAGGAACTTCTTTCTTGGTCTTTCTGAGAAATCTTGGGTCATTAGATTTCTATCTCTTACTGGGAAACTGAGAACTCCATTACCATCCACAATTAGCACATTATTGGCACTCAACAAATGTTTAGCTATAACAAAAGCAATAACAAGAATGCCTACTAGTATTGCTTGGGATCAGTAAGAGCAAGAGAGCTCCCCGGGGTGACTGATCTGCTGCAAGGTTACAAGTCCAAAGAATATGAAAGGCAGAGCCCTGGTGTAAAGCCCTGAATACACACTTTCATTATGGTTTAAAGCATCTGAATTATAACACGTAGGTCTATTTATTAAAAGGAAAAGCTTTCTTTGGCATGGGATAAATTAGTGCTCCAGCTACAGCAAGATGTTGTTTAATACAAAGGACATTTCTCTAATTCCTTTCAGATCTCAGTTCCACAGCTGAGAAGAGTTTGGTGTGTCTATTTCTAAATGGCATGACTATTATACAATCCCCTTTCTTCAGCTGGCATCAGAATGATATTCTCATCCTCTAGGTCTTCTGTTCTTTACTTCCACAAAGCTGAGGAGGCAAAAACACTGCCAGCCTCATCCAGCTTTTCATGGAAAGCTGGCATTCTGAACTGGCGCCTAAATGCACTTTCAGACTGTCCCCAGAGACAGTAGTGCTTTGAGGTGAATTCATAACATTAAGGCCAACAAAGACGTTAACATTAACTTTCTCACTTAACAGAAAGAAAGAAGTCTACAGCTTACTTATCGAGTTCTACTTGTGTGAGCTCTTCTGTTCTCTGCTCCCCAGTGACAATGGCCAGTTCATCCTTCAATTCCTGGATTTCCTTTTTCAAACGTATAATAGTCTACAGATGGCAAAGCAAAACAGTGAGTGAAAAATCCAAACCTTCTCAGAGTCTCAGGCTTTGAACTTGGTAACAAAGGATACTACTTTAAATAAAGACTATCTTAAAATTTTCCCAATACTAAAATTAAAATGATTTTGAAAATTCAATAGGCTTTTAATTTTTGCTCCCTTTAAAAATACACTGCCTAAGAAGCCATGAATAGTGAAAAATGGTAGTCAGTGGATGGAGAAGAAATTATTTGACTCATTAATTCTATCTGTAGTTCTACAAAATTTGCATTAACATTGTATGTTCTAATCTTTATTAAGAGGAGTCAAACCTATTGGCAATATTATGTCTGTCAGCAAAATAAAATACAAAAATCAAAACCAAATGTTCATAATTGTTGAGATGTGAATGATCCCCTTTCCTGTATGGCACTATAGCTGCACCTGATTTAGGTCCTGGGGCAGTCATGATGCATTCATGCAAATGTAACCTACTGTCTGACTCCAGCCCTACTCTCTATACATTCATTACCCAGTATCTCCTTAGGTCCCAAGGGTGGGAGATGAATGAAGGCAGGTTCTCAGTGATCTCAGATATAATAATACAAGATTGACCCTACTGTTGATTTTACTATGTTGTTTTTTTAATTCATTTATTTTTAGTTTTTAACATTCACTTTTATAAGATTTTGAGTTCTAAATTTTCCCTCTTCCCTCTCCCCAAGATGGCGTGCAATCTAATATAGGCTTTTTTACTATATTTTTAAAAAATAGATAATAATCCTCTCATGCACATAAAATAAGTGTTTGGGGGCTCTTTGGGTGATTAGAGATTTTATTTCCAGTTCCTGGCCTGTCACTTAAAAGATAGATAGATAGACTATAATCAATTTAACCACTCTGAGCCTTTCCTCACTTGCAAAGAGATGATAATACTTGTACTATGTGTCTCACAGACTTGTAGTGCTAAAAGCCCATATAAACCATCAAGTACTAAATAAACACCAGCTATAAATACTAGTAACATCAGTGTTAATAGTAACACTAATAATATTTACTCAGCCTTGTTTATTTGTTTTACCATAGAACTTGCATACTTGAATACCGGAAGTATCTTATGATTTTAATGGTTTAAGTCCTCTCCCCACTGAAACAATGTCCTTAGCAGATGGTTTTTGAAATTTGTTGTTACCTAAAATTTTATTGCCCGTGGCCAACACAGTCATAAAACTCTCTAACTTAGATAGAGGCTGATCCTCCATCAGCAGAAATACAGGTCACCATCGGGCCTATACTTGAAGCCTTTTCATTTCAGCAGGGCCCACCAGAACATATGTCTTGCTCATATTGCCTTCACGAACAGAGGGAAACTTCCATTTCAGCATAAGACATCAAGTAGGATTTTAGTGGGGGGTTTCACTCGAGTTTCTCCCCTTACTTTGTGTCTCAACCCTTAGGGTACCTAACAATAAGTACGATGTCTCTCAAAGGCTTCTCTTCTCCAGGTAAACCCTAACAAGTCCTTTAACCAATCTGTATATTTCACAGTCTCTAGTGCCCTGGTCACTCTGTTCTTAAAGAATCTTCTTAAAACAAGCATGACATTCCAGGTATGGTATGACCATGGCATATGGTCACTGTCCTTGATTTGGAAACTATACTTCTATCAATGTATTCTAAGATCACACGAGCATTTTCCTTCATCCTCTGAATGAAAAATTTTAGGAGAGGAGAAAATATTAACAATAAAAAGATAATTAGGAAAACAGGAAAATTGACTGACCTAGGGAAGTATTTCAGCTTACCCTCCATTAAAGTACTACTTCAATGACCTACCATGCTACGGTTATGTTCCTGAAGCTAATGAAAGCTAGGGGAGAACAATCTCCTGAAGACGCTGCAATGTTATCAAGGTTTCAAATAAAAACCTACATGTCTGACATCTGATAACCAGCTTAAATCTGGAAAGACTCATCACTGGATTGGCTTAGTATGTATTTTTAGCATGTAATCTACAGAAATCCTGATTTGAGAGATCTCATACTGCTGGTGGTGTATGTATGATTTAAGGGTCCACCTTATTCCCAAAAAAAAATGAAGGAGCAAGGTGCTACTGGAGAAGATAGCTTGTAGAAGAAAAGCATTTGCCATCTAAAGTTTGGTCATTTGGTGCAAGTAAAACATCCATCTCTGATATAATAACAAATGTTAAACATTAAGTGATGTTTTGTAGAACACTCTCCAAATGCATAAAAGAGAAAATTAGGTGAGTTTTGTAGCCAGGTCATGTTGCTTCTCTAGGTCCAGCCAGAACATATGTCTTACTCATACTGCCTTCAAGGACAGAAGATAAACTTCCACATAAGCATAAGCACTTCTTTTTTTTTCTTAAAGAAAAAGGTTTTTAAAATTCAAGATCTGTTATTATATCATGAGGAGCCACCAACCACCAATTCCTAAAAACTATTCCTAAAGCAAACCTTTACCCCCTAAAAAAATTTCCTAAGATAAATAACAGAAGAGCTATGTAAAGTATGGTTCTCTTTAGTAATGACCATTAGGATTTCCCATGACTTTATGAGCTTTAATAAAAGGAAGTTAATTATAATTATCCCCAGAAGGTTAAAGTAGACTAAGACTAAAACTTGCATATAAACATAGCTAAGAGGAATGACTCATCATGAAAAGCAGCAGCAATCTGTTCAGCTCTATCTTTTTCCCTGAAGAATGACAACTAAAAGCTTCTTACCAGTCTAGGGTCAATCTCTTCATTGAGAACAGCTTCATTCTTTATGAGGGCCACTCGCTGGGCAAATCTGCAAGTTGATATAGATTCCTAGAGAAATAACGTATCTCTTTAAAATGTCATCATTGATAGGGATTTTCTCTCTTATTCAAACTTTATTTTTGCAAATAGCTTAAAACACATAACCAAAATATGACTGAATGGACCATGTGGAGACAAAGCTAATGTATTCATTTTCATGAGGTCCTTGATCTAGAGCAGTAGTCTCCAAATATTTTTGATAGCTCACCCCATTGGAAAAAAAAAAACAACTTTGAAGCACAAACCCCCAAAATGTAATTTTTTTAATTTATTTATAAATTATACACATGGCTTCTGGTCTAAAATTATGTTTACCATGAAACTGACACAAAACTAAAAAGGATGAGATAAAATGAAATATTTTATCCTAGAGTCAATAGGGAACCATTGGAGTTTACTGAGTAAGAAAGTGACAAGGTCAGACCTAACACTAGAAAAACCAATTTGTTAGGAATGTGGAGGTGAAACTGGAGAGAAGAATTTAAAACTCAAAAGCTTATGGAAGTGAATGCTGAAAACTAAAAATAATTATTTAAAAAGAATATGTTTAATAGGAATGTATATGTAGAGCCTATATCAGATTGCATGCTATCTTGGAGAGGGAGGTGGAGAAAATTTAAAACTCAAAAGCTTATGGAAGTGAATGTTGGAAACTAAAAATAAATTAATTAACTTTAAAAAAAACATCAGCTAGGTGGTGCAGTGGATAGAGCACTGGCCCTGAAGTCAGAAAGACCTGAGTTCAAATCCAGCCTCAGACACTTAACACTTACTAGCTGTGTCACCCTGAGCGAGTCACTTAACCCCAATTGCCTCACAAAAAAAAAAAAATTAAGTGACTGGAAATATGGTGGTCCCTTGACAGGGAAATTTGGAAAAGGGTTCATTTTTTTGCGGCGGGCGGGGGAAGAGATTATAATTAAGTCTGTGATCTGTTGCAATTCATCCATGCCTGTGCACCCTATGTGACATCAATCAATGTCACCCAAAATGAAAAGCACCAGCTCAGAAAGAGGAAGACTGGGACACTGTCTAAAAGGGAGAGGGAAGAGTGGGAGAGTTTAGAACAGGGATCAGCATACTACATGTGGATAAATCCAGTCTGCCGCTCAAATATAGTTTGCTAGTCTGCTTTTGTATAGCCCCTAACAACCGTTTTTATATTTTTAACTAAGTTTTAATGTATTTTTCAGTGTAAAAAAATATTCTTGGGTGGCTGGCCCTACAGAAATAGGCAGAGGGCAGGATGTGACCCTAAGGAAGTAGCTTGCTGACCTCCATTTTAGCAGAAAAATGATGAGTATGATTGTATTAGAAATAGTTGCTATGCTTAGCTATATTGCTGAGGACAGTTGTCATCTTAATTTCCACCCTTGGATTGGTTGGTAACACCCCTTTTGGGGTCAGGTCATGCCCCCCTGGATGCACCTACACCCACCATGGAGACCACTGTTCTAGATTATCCATCATGATGACTGTTTCTATTTTGTTTTAATAAAATAATCATCACACACTGAATGGAAGAGATTCTGTTGTTCTAAGTGGTTACTAAAATTGGAATCCCTCCTGATCTGCTGCATTAAGAGAAGCATTAAAGAGCCACTATCCTCCTACTGATCTTTTCAACCAACTTCATACATATTATAATCAGTCAACTGCAAAATTTCCAAATGTATTGGGGAAAATATTGCAAAAGCAGCATGTCTCTCTACTTTATCTTAGATTAGATGTGTAAGATGGCCCCAGGATTCAGAAGAAACTGCACCTGAGAACTGAGAGTCAGGAAGGATGAAAGTCAAGTGCTGGCTCTGAAATGTAGGAGCCATAAAATAGGATTAGCAGTACTTAGACTGTCTACCTCACAGGATTGCTATGAGGATAGGTAAACCTTCAAGTAAGTACTATGCAAGTCTGAATTACTGGAATGCATTCTACGAGGCCCTCCTCTTGTTCAGAAGCTTCCTAGTTTTGCATGTTTCCAAGTGCTGGAGATTGCGTGCAGGCCAGACTGAACAGTGGCTAGTGCTTGAGGCACATGACATGTAAATAACCTGCTGGCTATACCAGGAAATCCTGGGTGGAGAGGCAATCTATGTGGGCCAGATCACTCTGGAGCAGTGCCTTTAAACCACCTAGAGTCTCAGTAACCAGGGCTGAAGGCAGACAGGACCTGGTAAGACAGCAACTCTCTTGGTCCACTGACTGCATGAACTAATCCGGCAGCTATCTTCTAGAAATATAGGAAGCTGAGTAAAAAAGATATTTCTCAAAATGAATACAAAATAAATGATTATAATTTTCTAGTAGGGTGACTAGGATGTATATAAATAATCGAGAGGCTGATTTCTCAGGTCACATAACAAGTAGGTAGGTCCCAACCCTACAGAAAAGGCAGAAATCCAACTATGACTCCTCAAACTCACTCTACCTGCTAACAATGTAAACCAAGCCTGAGATTGCTGATAGGAAGAGGCCACATACATCTATATTCCTTTTTTCTAACGACAGCGTAGCAATCATGGTTGTCATGCAGTTTCCTCCCAAGCTGTCCCTCAGTACGTTGGTCATCATGGAGTTTCTATAGGGAATATGGGATCGATGTTTCTCTGCAAGGGCAATTATAACCTGTGATGAAGTATAACAGCATTGGCATTATATTAGCCACAATAAACAAAGTATTGAAACAAACTGACCTGTGATCTCAAAGAATATGCAAAAAAATTAACGCATTCACTGCAGCAACAACAGCATTTAAGAATTTCTTATACCTACTGTTCATTAAGACAACAATACATATATATATATATAAATATAAATAATAAAGCATTAGCTTCTTCTGTGAAACAATGCAAACATAGCACTGAGAATCTAGCATATCATTTGAGTAAAAGAAAGGATAGACATGTATATCCTCCCCTATAGCCCAAGTTAGATGCTTCATGTGACATAGAATTGACTCTGGGTTCTTAAAGATTATGCCAGTAAGTCCCAAGCTCTATCAGGCCTAACTAAACTAGAAAAACACTGAGTACAGGCCTGGGATGGATTTTAAGCCTATCATCCTAGGACCAATCTAGAGGCTCATTACCAGAGGATTGACCACCATATAATCAATTATTTTTGACCACAGCAACACATGAAATAATCTGCTGTGGATTATAATCGGTGCTGGAAACAAGACTATTTATGAAGATGAAATCATAGACTGTTAAAGTATATATGCATATACATGTGTTGTTTTATAATAATAATGATGATGATGATGATGATGATGATGATGATGATTAGCATTTATATAGTACCTGCAATGTGCCAGGTAATATGATAAGCATTTTACAGATATGATCTCATTTGACCACCACAACAAGGAGGTAGGTGCTATTTTTATCCCCATTTTGCAGTTGAGAAAACTGAGGCAAACAGAGATTAAGTGATTTGCCTAAAGTTACACAGCTAGTGAATATCTAAGGCTGAATCTGAACTCAGGTATTCTTGACTCCAGACTCAATACTCTATCCAATGGGCCACCTGGCTGCCTCTGAAGGGCACATAAGATGCATTATTATCATAACAGGAATTAAAATATGTAGTGAAAGAAGGATCCCATTCCATCCAATTAGAATATAACTTCTCTGAGGGCATGGACTATGTTGGCCTTCCTTTGTATTTTCAATGCTTTAGTATAGTGTTCTAGCCTGGAAAATCACAGGGTTGGTGAATGGAACAGTAAGACCATCCATTAAACATACCTTTTTCAGAAGCAATGTTAATGTTGATTTGATTTCAACTCCCTTAAATAGAAAGGGTTGTAGAGGGGATAATGGGGGCATGAAGCAAAGGGATGGCTTAGGGAAGTCAGGAGCTGTGAACTTTAACATTCATTCATTCAAAAACAATCACTGAATGTCTCCTATAGATAAAGCATTACACTAGTTTCTTTGAGTACTAGAGTACCACAGGGCATTTTTAATCACATGGATACATGATAATATTGTAATACAGAGTCTTTTCTGTCTCTACTAGAAAATTAGTTAAAATCAGCTGTGAGAAACTGACATTTATTGGCTTCAAATTTGGACAATTATTTCTTCTTCACATAAGGCAATATATAATAATAATATGTTATAATTTCACAGGACAGTAAAAGTTGGCACAAGACCTATTAGGAATATAAGATTTAAAGCTAGAAGGGACCTTAGAAATCATTTAGTTCAAACCCCTCATTTTACAGATAAAGAGGTTAAATGACTTGCCTAATGTCATGTAGGCTGTAAGTAGTCGAGTCTGTATATATTTGTGCCCCAGTACTTGAAACATATTCCTACAGATTAGCAGATAAATAGCAGATTTTTATCAAGAAAAATATGGAGAGCAAAAGCCCATATTTTTTAATTTTCCTTTCCTCATCTCAAAAGACTAGTTTGGTTCAAGACTCAGCTCAGGTGTGCGGGTTTGTAAATTTAGTTCAGTCCTAAGCAACCTTCTGTCCAAAATAATTAGTTCTGGATCTGACCTTAGAGCTAAGGTTAAATCAAAGATGGTCCAGGAGAATACTACACAAAATTGGACAACCTTCCCCCAACTCCCCACTGAGCAGACTGAAATCTTTGGGGTGGTCTAAAAATAATATACCCTTTATAGATGGAATGAGGGCTGGTTTCATTTCTAGCAGACTCAGGTCTTCCTAAATAGAAAAGAAAATATGCTGCCTTTTTAGATGGTGGGGTTTAGGGATGGGTGGGAGGTAACCATAGTAAACAAGGAATTCTTTCCAAATTTCACCCCTATTTGGTGCTTACATTTACAAATATGAAGCTGAATGTTTTAGAAAACATCCTGAACTTACTAAATTATAAACTACTTGAGGACAACAATTATATCATATTCTTCTTTCTTTGCCCAGTGCACTGTACACAGCAGGGAATTAATAAATGTTTGCTGAATTTAGTTTAACTCAGTTTAATCTCAAGACAGAATGAAACCTCATACTATATTTAAAATTTCTCAAAACTCTGCTTGAAATTGATAACTTTATTATTTAATGATTTTTTTAATTTAAAAGCTCACAAGGGTATGGAAAGTTATCCTCTGAAAATGGACAAAGATTAGGAGTGGTTACAATTGGCACTAACAGCCTTCATTTTTCTCCCACACATTATACATCCAATGGAAGTCAAGTAGAAACAAATGCTCATTCTCTTAAAAAAAAAAAAATCCCACGTGTGGAATAGATGGTTGAAATCTACCCTAGCTTCTGATTTCTATAGAGCTAACGAGGAAAAACTTTCATTTTCGCAGTGGTTTCTCACTTGATGTTTGTGCTGATAGAGTCATAGGTCACACCAGGGGCACTGTAGGAGGTTCACAGTTAGAACAAGTATTTATTTCTTCATTTCTTTTTCTGTCATTGACTTACAATTTCTGGGGCCAAAATGTACCCTGCTATTGTGGCTTAAAAGTGTTTTTGAGGAAACTTTTGGAAAAAGCAATGCATTTATACAAGGAGAACTCTAAAACCAACAAGATTCTGGCAAACAGAATGCTATTTTCTTACAAACACAATAGGGTGCATTCAACTCTCAAAAGGACTATACTCCTTTAAGCAGGTGTGAGGTCTCATACACATAACTAATAGGACAATCACAATTGTGTATAGAACCAATACAACAACAGAAATGCCTTAATAGTGTATTTCTCACTACATCTATTTCACATGAACTGGAAACTGAGACTATAACTAATATAAGGAGCTAAACTAAGGATTAGTGAGGCCTGCAATAGTATACTATAAGAGATTCCCTGATTTAAAAATCATAAAATGTGGTATTACCTAAAGTGATATCCATTATAGAAGTCCTTGTAGTCCATGATTACTTTATTGAATTCCATGATTAATTATCCACTCTTTCTTCTTTTTATCAATTCTCTTTCACTATCACATACTAGCCCCACCAATTCCTCATCTTCTCTTCTATATATTTGCTATCTAGCACCTATGTCTAGACTTCCCCACAGCTAACTAACCATTAACTTTAACACACCTGCTATTTTCTTCATAGCTTTTTTTATCTTTCTTACTGTGAATCTTTCTCACCCTCTCTTACATTACTTCTTGACTTTTACACAGTCTTTCTTAATAGTGTTTATATATTTGCATATGATTTGCAATTATCAACAGCAACAAAAAATTTGACAAATAATCCTTAAGCACCAACAATGCATTCAGCATTTTGCTAGGGTGTGGAGGGAGATACAAAGATAAATAAAATAGAGTTCCTGCTTTATTCACAACTTAGTCATTCCCATTGTATCCCCAGCATAGCATACTGCTTGCCACATTGTAAAATACATACAAAATGCTTATTAACTGATTATCTGCACTAAGGGAATCAGAGTCCTGGGGGTGGATATTCTAGAAAAGGGACAACCTACATGCAAATAATTGAGAGTTAATTACATGTGAGTACATATGACAGCACATGTGAATAGCTATGTAAGCATATGTCCTTCTATGATCAATAGGAGAGGCTAAGAAATCTTGTTGATGGGGAGCTGTTTTCTCTAAACATGGAAACAGGTTAAAAAAAACCTGGTAATGAAATGGAACCCCAAAGGCTTGGAAAAAGATTTTAGGGATAGTTGACAAATGCTACAGCTGAGATCTGTGTTGTATGAGGTGAATGCCATTAGCATCTTTGGATGAAGAGGTATGTGTGTGAGTGTGTATGTGATCTTCGCTTGGGAAAAGAAATAGTTTCTCTTGGGCAACTGTGGTTGGTTAGAAGTCTGTCTCAAGGAGTCTTTCTTAGCCAATAACCATAATTTTGCATGAACAAGTGATTATTGGGCATATTATAAGGGCCAAGAGTCACCACTGGAAATTAGCAATAATAATAATTGACATTTATGTAATATTTCAAGTTTTACAAAATGCTTTATACATATTATCTTATTTGATTCTCACAACAACTCTAAATCAGGTACTCTATACATGATGATCTTCACTTTACAGACCACAGAAGTTAAGTGACCTATCTATGGTCACACAATTAGTTAAGTGCTAGAAGCAGGATTCAACCCCATCTCCCTCCTTAATACCAGTTCAGGGCTCCTTCCACTATCCCATCCTTTATACATGTTCCAAAGAAGCTCTAGACTCTAATGTTTTGATCTCAAAGCTGAGCCAGGAGTAGCTCAGGAATGCTACATGTCATGTAAAATTCTATACTAATATTAGTCTCGTGCCAGTCTGGACCACTTGGGTACTTTGTTTCTGATATCTGACTCCAGGACTTCATTAGGACTAAGCTGTATGCCCATGTTTGGATCAGGCTTCCTCCTGACGTTCACTCATTCTACTTTTTCAGCTCATCTCTCCTTTTCAAGAAGTTTGGCACCAGGGCAGCTCCCATTCACTACTTTAACCTCAAAAGGATTTATGAGGCAGTAAAAAGGTTTAGTTTCCTTATATCCTTTACCCTGATGACATCTAAGCCCTTGTACTTTGCTAACAGACTCTGTACTTACTCTTTCAATTCTTCCCTCGTGTTTTTCAACTCCTTCAGGCTCAGAAAGTAATCTAACTCTTTGAATATCAACTTTTAACTTCTTTGGGAATATCTACTTAGATGAGCAGCTAGGTGGCACAGTGGCCTGGAGTCAGGAAGAAATGAGTTCAAATCTGGCCTTGGACACTTACTAGCTGTGTGACACTAGGCAAGTCACTTCATCCTGTTTGCTGCAGTTTCTTAATCTGTAAAATGAGGTGGAGAAGGAAATAGAAAGCCACTTCAGTGTCTTTGCTAAGAAAGCCCCAAATGGGATCATGAAGAGTGGGACACAATTGAAAGGACTGAACAACAAAAACTTGGATGAAAAGAGATGAGTTCATTCTGTTCTTGTGAGTCAAATTAAGAAATAAAAGCGTAGTATGATTCTTCAGTTAGATAGGAAAGGTCTTCTCCATCAATCATCTCTTCTATTGCATCTTCAGTTTCTTCCTCTTGTCCCCACAAACACACTCATATCTTCTCTATCCCAAAAAATTCTTCCCCTGATTTTGCTGCCCTTACCCCTCTCCCCAGCTATTGGCCTCTGTCCCCACTCTCCTTTATCGTCAAACTTTTTGAAACAGTTGTGATCTCTGTCTCAATTCCATCATTAATTCATTCTTCAACTTTCTGCAATTTGGTTCCCACCTCAACCACTCCACTGGAACTGTATTTCACAAATAGCACTAATGACCTCCTAATTTCTGAGTCCAATGGCCTCTTCTCAGTTCTCATCCCCCTTGACCTCTTTATTGCATTTAAGACTAATGACTAATGCTTCTTCTTGAAACTCTTTCCTCTCACAGCTACTGCATCATAATAGGCACAAGGCAGCTAGGTGATGCAGTGGACATGGCACTAGAAATGGAGTCAAGAAGACCTGAATTCAAATCCAGCTTCAGACACTTATTATCTGTGATACTTTGGACAAGTCACTTAACTTCTGTGTCAGTTTACTCATTTGTAAAATGGAAATAATAACAATGCTTAATTCTGAGCCTTGTGAGAACTAAATGGGATAATATTTGTAAAGTGTTTTACAAACTTCGAAGAACTACATAAGTGCTAGTTGTTATTATTTTCATTATCATTCTGCTCTTTTTGGTTCTCTGACCTTGATTCACTGGAATTTTTTCTTTTTTCTTCTACTATTCATTCTTCTTCTTCTGACCCCATCAATGCTGGAATTTCCTACAGTTTTGATTTTTCCCTATTTTGTCACATTGATTTCATCTGTTCCCATGATTTCAATGACCATGACTATGCAGATGAATTTCAAATCTTTATCAACAGTTCCATATCACTCTCAGATCCAAAAAGCAATCCAATTACTGCCTGGACATTTCTGCCTTGAAAACATGCCACTACCTCAAATTTAACATCACTCCAATTTATCCTACACAATGCTGTGAAATTGATGTTCCTATGACTTAAGTGTATCATGTTATTTATTTGCTCAGAACCCATCAATAGCTCCTTACTTTCTACCAAATAATTTATTCTGATGGTATCACAAGAACAACAAAAAAGCTTTATCAACTATGGGAGATGTGTCATTGTGAGCTTTGAATTGATGAGAGTTGGGGATGAGCCACAACAATGCAGCTGGTCACTGGGAGAGTATGACCTTGACTGCAGAAGGGCTTGAGGTGTGTTTTTGCCTTCCCTATAATTGGTATTTATCTGTATGGCTCAGGCAGACTAGCAGATCAGGTTATCAATTAGTTCACCTACTGGGAACACGCATAGGATATGCTTAGAAAAACCCCTCCACTCTATCTAATTCTATCCATCCTTTGAGGTCCATTGCAAAAGAGAGTTAATATTTTTTGACTTAAGGGTCAAGAAAGGGGCAAATCATTTCTACTCTCTGAGCTCCATTGTTCTTAATTATAAAATAGTTAAGGGAATAATATTTTGACTGCCTCAAAGGGGTGTTATGAGAAAAGTGCAAATATAGGGTAGCTAGGTGGCACAGTGGATTGAACTGCTGGGCCTAAGTTTAAAACTGGCTTCAGACACTTACTAGCCGTATGATCCTGAGTAAGTCACTTAACTTCTGTGTGTCTCAGTTTCCTTATATGTAAAATGGAGATAATAATAGCACCTACCTCCCAGGGTTGCTGTAAGGATCAAATGAAATAATAATTGTAAAGCAGTTAGCACAGTGCCTGGCACATAGTATATGGTTAGATACATGTTAGCTATTATTATTATTACTAAAGTATCATAAAAATATGAGCTATTATTATGACCTCTTCAGCCAGAAGTAATTTCTGAAATACCACAGCACTTGTATTTCTCTTATTATGCTTTCACATTATGCCTTGTATTATAGTTATTTATAAACATGTCTTACCTCCCCTACTAGCCTACACATTCCATTAGGGTGAGGATTGTATTTTATTCTCCTTTGAATTTCTTACAGCACCTAGTGCTGCACCTCGAACAAAGTGAACACTAAATAAACATGTGTTAGATGAATGAATAAGTAAAGAGGATGTGGTGGGTGGCAGATGGTTTGCAGGGAAGTACAGAAGAGCAAAAATGCTGAAAGGAACTGTATCCAACCACTCCAAATCCAAGAAACAACCAGCAGTTCAGAAAGCTAACACTTAATTCTGTTTTATAATTCCAGAGATATTTGAATAAAATCTGATGTAAAAGGAATTAGTACTATGTGCATTTTCTCAAAAAAAAGGTAGTGAGAGTTTATTAACAATATTTGTGTTCAACAAACAATTTCAAGCTAAAGCAAGAACTATGTGCTCACATTGTCAGTTTTACCTGTTCTAAGTAGTGTAGGGAAAGGTTGATATATTTGGCTTCTGTCAGAAGCTGGCCTCCAACTCCAGTCTTTGCAACTCGCTCTGAACCAGCCAGGTCAACCAAATGGAGTTTGGCATGACGGACAATTGCAGAGCCTGGTTCCTTGCTTGAGATATGAACTGTGAAAATGCAGTGGGAACGCGTGGAGGCCTGATTCATAGGAGTCTATCAAAGTGGAGTTCCAAAGAAAAGCTCATTAGAAGAAAAAAATAATTTTTTTAAACAACAACAAAAACAATATTTTTAAGCAATGGAGAAGGTAAAAACATTTTTTCCTTAAAGCCTAAAGCTTAAGTCTTCTCCAATACCTTTGATACACTGAATGGAATATCAGATGTGATAAGTCAGATCAGATGGTAGGAGAAGGATGCTAATGAGTCCACAGTCATGGATTGGATGCTTATATGAATTAATAATAGCAATAATAATAATAATGATACTATCTGCCCTCTACATAACACCTTAAGGATTACAAAGCACTTTAAAGCCTTTTTCATTTTATCTTTACAACGACCCTGTGAGATAAGTGCTATTACTATCTCCACTTACCAAACGATAGTAGAATCAGCACAGAGACTTTAAGTGACTTACCAGAGTTCTACAGCTACTAAGAGTCTCAATTGGAATTTGAACCTGGGTTTTAAGATGAAATCTAGAGCTCTGGTTACTAAACAATTCTACCATTCTACCTGGCCACAGACTGCACGTACTCTGATACTCAAGAGAGGTAACATTTATAAAGTGCTCAGCACAGTATTTGGTATATAATAAAGGCTATACAAATGCTAGATATTATTATCATTCTTATTACTGGTCAACCATTTCAATAATATTTGACGTTGATCAAAAATGGGGCAAGGCAACACTAACCCATTTCATTACTAGGAAGACAACTCAAAGTACATAATGCACTCATAACAGATAAGCAGCATAATCTTTTATTTCTGTAGGACAATATGCATCTGAATTTTGTGGTATAAATGGGAAAATAGATTTGGATCTACATCTGTAAGATAATACCTTGCCAAAGAAATGTGGACATTTATAAATCTGAATGTAAATCTAACAGAAACTTCAGGATATTTTTCCAGCCCCAAATTCCATATGCTTTAAAAGGGAAATAATTGATACACAGTGTAGACAAAACCAGATGATTAGCAAAATTTTGGCAATAAAGAGACAGAACATGAAGTTAAATAGGCTAAAAATTTGACCCATTACTTGTCGCCACAACAAACAATACCCTAACCATGGCAGCATGTGATTTTGCATGCAAACGTGGGCCGGCAAATAACTGTGCATGCAAAACCACAAGTTCAAATTTAGAACCTGAGTTGAGGTGCCTTGGAAGTGACTGTTATTTGCAGAACTTAAATATGGGGTTTGTCTCACTGTTATATTCCCACTACAATAAATTCTACAGTACTATAATGAAAGTCAAATCAACAATTGATATAAATGTAATAATGTCAAAACTAAACCCAACAGCTGTCTTCAGCTTCTAGACTGATATATTGGAATGTGGACCTTTAACAAATACTGGAATTGAGTATTCATTTCACTGGAATGCAAACATCAGATTTTTACATCAAACTAAATTATAATTCTTGTGAAGGTTAACTGGGGTCTGCAATTAAAATACTGGACTATTATGTTTTATAAGTCTATGTCCACAGTTTCCTGACTTTTTAGAACAATTTCCTGCATGGAGTGGAAGTTGCTATTCTCTTAAAAACAACATTTTAGACACTTCAGAAAATATCATTTGTATATAGATACCTACTTGCATTTCAGTCTGATGATGTGCTATGTGTCTGCCCTATATATATGTAGGACATACTTCTTTTTTCCTTATGTCCATACTCCTGATTATCTTTTTAAAGGCAGAATTGTAACAGACACATATTTTTAAATGCATGAAAACATATGGTACCACTTAGGTAGATTAATGTGAATTTAAACACACATGTTATGCAAATGTACACATAGAACTACTGAATAGGGCCTTTGGTAAAATCAAAGTAATGGCCAAATCTCTGGTCATTTCATATTAACCATTTAGTGAGTGCTTCCTTTGTGTTCAACAATAATGGTAGGTGTTAGGGATACAAAAGAAACATGAAACATAGTCCATACCCTCAAAGAACTTATGATAGAGTTGGAAAGACAATCAGTCAAAAAACATATATTAAAGGTGACCTATGTGCCAAGCAGTATGCTGGGTTCTGAGAATATACAAAGAAAAAAAAAGTTCCTGCCTTCAAGGAGCTCCATTTTATTGGGGTAAATAACATGTACACATATAACTAAATACTAAAACAAATCAAAGTAATTTAGAGGATACTAACAGTTTGGGGGCATCTGTGAAGGCTTCATATAGACAAGATTACTTGAATTGAGTTTTGAAGGAAGCTAAAATTCTAAGAAGTGGAGATCAAGGTCATACATTACAGGCAGTGTCAGTCTGGACAAAGTCAGAAAGACAGTAAATGGAATATTGTTTATAATGAATAGTAAGTAAGCCGGTTTGCTTGCAAGGTGGTGTATGAAGAGGGATAATCCGTGTTAAGTCTGGAAAAGTAGATTGGAGCCAGACTGTGAAGGGTTCTAAACATCAAAGAAAGGCCTCTGTACTTCTTGAGCAGCAGAGTAACTTGGTCAGACCAAAGCTTTAGAAATATCATTTTGTCGATTGGAAAAGACAGAGACTGGAGCCAGGGAAACCAAATAGGAGCATATTACAATAGTCTTGGAATTAGCTGATAAGAACCTTAACTAGGTGACCATGTAAATGAAAGGAATGGATGTGAAAGATGGAGGCAGAGTTGACAAGACTTGGCTAGACCATATACGAGGAGAGTGGAGAGCTGCAGATAACTCAGGATTATGAACCTGGGTTACTGGAAGGCTGATGGCATGTACCTTCAACAGAAATAGAGAAGTAGGTAGGGTGTAGGGTAAAGATAATGACTTCTGTTTTGGAAATACGATCATATATTTAAAACTGAAAGGAATGATAAAGGTCATGTAGTTTTTAGTCTCCTTATTTTATAAATGTGGAACTAAGACTAAGAGAAGTTAAATTATCATTTTAAGGAAAGCTCTATTTATTCCTATTTCTAGTGGGGTTTTTTTTTTTAAATAGTTATAGGCAATGCATTTTGTAAAAGGTTTTTCTTCATTTACTGAAAAACTACATGCTTTGTGTTAGTATTGTTTTTGATATGGTCAACTACGCTTGTAGTTTTCCTTGTATTGAAACTTTGCATTCCTGGTATAAATTCTGCCTTCTCATAGGGTATGATCTTTGTGATGTATTGCTGCAAACTTCTTGTTAATGTTTTATTTAAAATTTTTGCATCAATATTCACTTGTCTAACGAACGGTCTATAGTTTCTTTGTTTTGATTCTTCCTGGTCTAAGTATCAAGACCATACTGTATCATAGAAATATTTTGGTAGGATCCCATCTTTATTTATTTTTTCAAACAATTTATATAGCATTGAAATTATTCTTAAAATGATAGTGAGAATTCATGTATAAATGCATCTGATCCTAGGTTTTTTTTGTAGTTCATTTATGGCTTGTTCAATTTCTTTTTCTAAGATCAGATTATTAAAGTATTCTATTTTCTCTTATGTTAATTTGGACAATTTATATTTTTGTAAATATTCATTTCATTCATGTCAATTTTATTAGCATTTTAATAATTTATTAGCTTTTAATAATTGCTTTTATTTCATTTTTCATTGCTTGTTAATTCTCTTTTTTCATTTTTCCATTGGTAATTTCTTTCTTTTTTAAAAAATCATATTATCTAATAATTTATCTATTTTGTTGTTTTTTTTAAACCCGGCTCCTAGTTTTATTTATTAATTCAATGGTTTTTCTTTAACTTTAAATTGTGTTAATCCTTTCTTTGACTTTCAGGATTTTTATAATGATGTTTAATAGGGGGCGGTTAACTGGTTGCCATTCTAGTTTTTTTATGCTGTGTGCCCCGTTCATTGATCTGTTCTTTCTCTCTTTTGTTGCTAAGTTTAGAGATATAAAAGTTCGTCTAAGTACTGCTTGTTTTCTTTGATCATCCCATTCCTTAGGATTAAGTTGTTCAGTTTCCAATTAATTTTTAACCTATACTTCAAAGGCTCTTTATTGAATATTGTTTATATTGTATTATGGTCAGAAAATATGAATTCAATATTTCTGCTTTTCTTGTGAGGGTTTTTCCCCCTATTATATGGTCAATTTTTGTGATTTGCACAGCTGAGAAATAAGTACACACTTCTCTATTTCCATTCAATATTTTCCAGAGGCCTATCATATCTAATTTTTCTGAAATTCTATTCATCTCTTTAATTTCTTTCTTGTTTATTTAATGGTTCAATTTATCTAGGTCTGAGATGGGTAAATTGAGATCCCCCATTAACAACATTTTACTATCTATTTCTTCTACAATTCATTTAACTTTTCCTTTAAGTGCATATATATTCAGTACTGATATTAATTGTCTATGGTACTTTTTAGCAAAATGTAGTTTCCCTCTTTATTTCTTTAAATGAAATCTATTTTTTGCTTTTGCTTTGTCTGAGATCATGATTGCTGGTGCTGCCTTTTTTACATCAGTTGAAACATAATAGATTCTGCTTAAGTCTTTTATTTTAACTATGTGTTTCTTTCCATTTCAAGTGTGTTTCTTATAAGCAACAAATTATTGATCTCTGGTCTCTAATCAATTCTGATATCCTCCTCTGTAGTTATGATTATTACTGTGTATTTCCCTCCATGATATTCTCTTACACTTAATCTTCTCTTGTTTACCCTATCCCCTCTTCAGGTTTGTTTTGTTTCTGAACACTTCCCTTAATCTATCCTTCTTCTCATTCCTCCCTCTTATTTCCCTGTCGAATATGATGTATTTCTGTACCAACTTTATCTGTTTATGTATGTGTATTCTTTTCTTCTTTAACCATTTCATATGAGAATGAGGTTCAAATGCGGTCAGCTCTTCCCACATTCCCACCCCACTGCTTTCTCCTTGTTATAGGAATTCATTTTGGTGTACCCCTTTTATGTGAGATAATCTCCCCCATTCTTACTCTCCTTTCCCTCCTATCCCAGTACATACCTCATCCCCACTCCTTTTTTTTTTTCTTTTTGAGCTC